AAATAAAATATAATAATAATAATAATAATAATAATAATAATAATAATGGAGAAATGTGGGATTCACAAATAAATCAAGTATAAAAATCAAACGAATAATCATATCTGACTTGATTGTTTATAGTTCATGATGTGTGATCAAAACCGAAAGTTTCTGTGATGACTGCCCTTGCACTGTTCACCATGTAAGAACTTACTCACTATGTAAAAACTTGTTCACCATGTAAAAACTTGTTCGTTATGCTTCAGAAGATTGAGACTGTTGAGAATTAGACTTGGGGTTGATTAATAATTGTGCATTGAGTCCCCTATACAGAACAGAATTTTGTTGTTGTTAACAACCATCTGATCAATAAATATGAGAGATGCCCTCTCAAAAACAAACAAAAAAAAGAATTACAACAGGAAACTTGGATAGGCAAAAAAAGACACAAGATGTTGGAGAAGCACAAAAGAAGTTTGTAGGGATATATGACTGACACATGCAGTGGGACTGATAGAAAAGCTAGAATGGCAGATAAGAGCAAACTAATATGGGCTTTAGACTAAGAAATTCCAAACCACTAAGGATGCATGAGCAGGGATTCACATAATTATACTTGTGTCTTAGAAATTAAGGCTGCACTCTAATAAGCCGATGAGAAGGAACTAAATGTGAGAAATCTGTTAAATTATTATTAAAAGTCCAAGGAAAAGTACAAGTGAAAAAAAAGCTGTTCAAAAAAACAGTAGTTGAAAGTCAATCCTACTATTTACGAAAGAAAAACAAATTCACATATTCTGATCATAACTACATTCATCCAGAGAAAAAGTCAGGAAGAATATGAAACAAAATGGGTACAGTAGCCCCGCAGGCCTGGGTGCCAGAGGCACAACACCACACCCCACATTCCCACGCACAGAGCAGAGCATGCGGCCTCAGGTTACAGCCTGCCGACAGCCTCCTCGCCTGCTGTGCTGGCAACGCCATGGCACTGGGGGCTGGGGTGCACTATCCCAGACCCCATGCACAGGCCCTGCCCTGCTCTCTGTGAACAAATTCATAAACATGAATGGATAACACAACAAAATGGTGTCATGTCAGCACAGTGGGAATAGGGAACTTTGCACAGGAAGCTTGGGAAGATGTTGTCTGCTGTAGTCTGCCTGCAGCTAGGACAACACTGAGTAAGATGAATTTAGAAAGCATGAAGCTGCTAGTGAACTCTGTTCTCCTCTATCAATTAAAGGAACTGAAAAACTAATAAAGCTCCCAGAGAAAATCCAGGACTTGTCAACACACCTTTACAGTTATGAAGTCAAAAAAAGTTACGAAGACAGTGGGCTGATCAAGATGACACTGAGTAATCCTTCAAAACTCGATGAACTAATGAGTGAAGAGACATATGAGAAATACGTAAAATCTTCTGAGGAGTGAAGGAACCCCTAAATGAACTAGCATAAAATAATCTAGCAAAATTGCCTTAAATTAGTGGTGGACAGAAAATTATAGATAGTAACTTTTAGAAGTCCCAACGGAAGAAACTACTCAAAACAATGCTGAAGAAAATGACACTTAACTTTCTATGATCGCAGATTAACGTAATATGCATCTTTTCCACAATACCCTATGATTTTTAGGCTGGGGGAGATTCAGTTATAGTACTTAGAGTTGCTAAAATTAGCTGTGTAAAAAACTAGATGTGAAAATGATGTAATTCATGGATAATATTGTTATCTTAAGCCTTATATAACTTGCTTATATCCCACCACTAGATTTGGGTCAAAATACTTAATGATCTTTCCACTTGGAATACCTGGCAGTGGAGAAAAGATTTGCTGTACATTTCCAGATGCAGGACAATACTATCTTAATTTTTCAATATACTGTGTTTGCTGGTGCTATATTTAGACAATGAAGCAACAGCTTTGCAAGAAAATAGTCAAAATTTCAACATCTTAATTAAAAAAAAGTCAGGCTACAGTGGTTACTAATGCTGATGGGATTATGAATGGTACCTAATTTCTTCATAGTTCACTTTATTTTTTTAGTTTTTTACAAAGAACATACAATGTTTTTGTAAAGAGCAATGGATGGAACCAAGAACACTATTTCTATTTTGAATGATAACAAAAGCCTCAAGACAGCAAAAAGTCTGTCTTCTTTTTTGTAGACAGGAAGGCAGTAAGAAATCTATTTGGGATCCTCTCAGCTTTAGGTGTTCAAATGAACTAGGAAATATATACTCAGGTTTTAGGTAATTTTTGCTTTGTTGAGAGGGAGCAGTAATACATACTGCAACACAATTTATGTAAGAATTTCCTTTATTTTTTGATTCACTTAATATAGCCATTGACCTGAGGAAAGTAGTATGACTTATTTTCATTCATTTTTAGAATCTTGGTACTTGCAAAACAGATGGCAACTGTAAGAATTGTGCAGGCTGAAATATATTTTGTACTTATAAAACTGCCTTAATGAATTAGCTGTTTGGAATAGTCTGTACCAGCGTTTTCTCTGCCAAATTAACCTTGTCCAGCCTCCCTTACTACCTTCATCCCCACCTGGAACAAGCAAACTAACAGTCATCCACCCACTAGGGGTAGATAAAAGACTTAAAATAACTACAAACTATAAAAACATCCTCCTGCACTTTAGTTACAAGCACATACGATGATGATTATGATGATGACCCCACAGTAGATTCCTTTATAGAAAGTTTTTACACTGAAGGAACACAGTTGGCCCAGAGAAGATAACAGTAAAGAAAACATACCCCATTAGAAGCTTTCTTCTTTGCTTTCCATTCATCCAGTTGTGCTTTTGTCTTTGCATCAACTTTAACAAGTAGCTTCTTCTCTCCAATCTGCAGATCATGTAATAACCTGAGTGCACGGAGGGTAGACTCAGGCTCCTTATACTCACAGAATCCAAAGGCTAGCAATTGATATAAAAAATTAGTGAAACAGCAATAGAATTGTGAAAGATTAGAAATATTTATGGAAAATTAAATTATAAGAGACCAGATATTATAACACAAGGATTATTTATGTCATTATTCTTATATTTCCTACAATTACCTTTGATAAGGATTTCACTTTTAGAACCCTTAACCAATAAAAAGGAGAAAACAAAACAAAGGAAGAAAAATTCTAATCAGACACATCACTAGTTGTTAAAAGCGCTGATAAAACATTTAATTAGCAAAATCAGCAAATTTCATGATTCTTTAATTACTTCATGAATTCACTTCATCAAGATTTTCTAACAGCTGCAAATAAGTAAGAATAGGTTGCCTGAACGTAAATAAAGCCCTTTTCAATTCTGAGATGTTAAACTTCAAAAATACTCATCTTTTATCCTAGTTACCAGTCTAATATTTGCTTCATTTCCATAGCTAGTCTTACTATTATTACCATGTCTTTAAATCACAGATACTAAAACAAAATTAAATTTAAAAATAATCTAAAAATTGAGAAAACTAAACAAATGAAGAATTATTATTCTGAGTGATTTTAAAGCAGTAAATTTGACCATACATTTTTAGCATGATATACTCTAAAGACAAAAAGACCTGTCAATAATAAAGTTCAATAATCATATTGTTGTTGATAGTGTTGATATTAGAGTCTGAAACTGTTGTATATGAAATGAAGCAAGCCAATGACTATTTATTTAATAGTCTATAATCCCAAGTGTCCTTGAAACTCAGCATTCTATTTGAGAAAGGAAATATATATGACAGAAAAGGTTAAGCGAAACATTTCAGTCTTGAATTTGAATTAATATACAAAGGGAAAATATAAAAGCAAAGACTAAACCACTGTTACAAGCATACCTAATTCTCAGACTGTGAGTTTGAAAGCGATTTCCCACTAAGCGGAATAAGAGCCCCTTAGAGAAATGGCTGATCCCAAGTCTGGGGCATGAAAATTACTAGGTGAGCTTCGAATACCTCAATATACCAGGTAACAAGGAAGCTATCAAAGGTAGTTAGGCTTATCCCAAAACCACTGGAGTTCCAACTTGCACAGGCAACTCAGGACAACTTAAATTTCACTAATGATAACAATCCATACTAAATATAAAAACAAACTGAATATGCTTCAATCCATTAAATTCAAAATGGTTCTTTTAACAAAAGTCACTGCTAGAGGACGCTGAGGACACAAGCTCACCCTTTTAAAAAATGAAAGGAAGAACCCAAGCATTTATCCTAGTCTTCTTAAATAAACTGTACCTCTAAGTAACTAAACAGTAGGTGGAAGGGCAAGATTATCCTTATAGACGATCCTTACAGATGTATTCTACAAATAAATGAAGATTTGTTTCTTGAAGGAATGACAGAATTCTTCAAAATAGATGATTACATTTTACAACCCCCCCAATGAATGAATCTATGTAGGCAGTGACAATCAACAGCTGCTACCAATAAAAAAGTAGTAATAACCATTTCCCAATTGAGTACCACCATCTCTAGGGGGCTCTTACAAATAAAAGCATCAACAAAAACAACACAAACAAACTCAAATCTGATTGAGTCTCAAGATAAAACTGTCAACCAGTTTACGTAAAATAAAGAGGAGAGAGATACATAGAACATTATAGCTTCATTTCCATAGCTAGTCTTACTATTATTACCATGTCTTTAAATCACAGATACTAAAACAAAATTAAATTTAAAAATAATCTAAAAATTGAGAAAACTAAACAAATGAAGAATTATTATTCTGAGTGATTTTAAAGCAGTAAATTTGACCATACATTTTTAGCATGATATACTCTAAAGACAAAAAGACCTGTCAATAATAAAGTTCAATAATCATATTGTTGTTGATAGTGTTGATATTAGAGTCTGAAACTGTTGTATATGAAATGAAGCAAGCCAATGACTATTTATTTAATAGTCTATAATCCCAAGTGTCCTTGAAACTCAGCATTCTATTTGAGAAAGGAAATATATATGACAGAAAAGGTTAAGCGAAACATTTCAGTCTTGAATTTGAATTAATATACAAAGGGAAAATATAAAAGCAAAGACTAAACCACTGTTACAAGCATACCTAATTCTCAGACTGTGAGTTTGAAAGCGATTTCCCACTAAGCGGAATAAGAGCCCCTTAGAGAAATGGCTGATCCCAAGTCTGGGGCATGAAAATTACTAGGTGAGCTTCGAATACCTCAATATACCAGGTAACAAGGAAGCTATCAAAGGTAGTTAGGCTTATCCCAAAACCACTGGAGTTCCAACTTGCACAGGCAACTCAGGACAACTTAAATTTCACTAATGATAACAATCCATACTAAATATAAAAACAAACTGAATATGCTTCAATCCATTAAATTCAAAATGGTTCTTTTAACAAAAGTCACTGCTAGAGGATGCTGAGGACACAAGCTCACCCTTTTAAAAAATGAAAGGAAGAACCCAAGCATTTATCCTAGTCTTCTTAAATAAACTGTACCTCTAAGTAACTAAACAGTAGGTGGAAGGGCAAGATTATCCTTATAGACGATCCTTACAGATGTATTCTACAAATAAATGAAGATTTGTTTCTTGAAGGAATGACAGAATTCTTCAAAATAGATGATTACATTTTACAACCCCCCCAATGAATGAATCTATGTAGGCAGTGACAATCAACAGCTGCTACCAATAAAAAAGTAGTAATAACCATTTCCCAATTGAGTACCACCATCTCTAGGGGGCTCTTACAAATAAAAGCATCAACAAAAACAACACAAACAAACTCAAATCTGATTGAGTCTCAAGATAAAACTGTCAACCAGTTTACGTAAAATAAAGAGGAGAGAGATACATAGAACATTATTGGAGGTGCAATTAGCAGGTCTAGATTAAAGAAATGTTACTGAGCAAATAACTCAGTTTCTTCAAATTATTGCAAGAGAAAAGAGAAAGAACTTAAAATATTAAAAGAAACTTAAAAATATGTCAACCAACTGCAGTGTGAAGACTATATGGATCCTAAATCAAACTATTTTTAAAAAATGACATTTGAGACCACTGGACACTGGAACATTCACTAGGTATTGACTAGAGGTTAGGTATCTGAACATTGACTTAATGGTATTAAGAAAAATATTTAGTTCCTATAATACATAGTATTTTGGGTATGTTTTTAAAAAATCCATTATCTTTAAAGACACACACCAAATTATTTATGGACAAAATGATGGTGCTTGACATTGCTTAAAAGTAATATAAAGAGGAAATGGTTAGGAAAGGGTTAAGGACAACTCGTCAGGAGTTGATAAAATGCTAAAGCCAGGTCATGAATACAGGAGAGTTCATCATACTGTCTAATTTTATATAGGTATCAATTTTTCCTTTTTAATATTAACAAAAAGTTTAAAGAATGTACATCAAACAGGTGTTTCTAGGCAGTACAACACAGATAAGCAGTGGTTGATGGACAGTGACTGCAATGGAGTATGTGGGGGGCTTGATAATATAGGTGAATGTGATAACCACAGTGTTGCTCGTGTAAAACCTTCCTAAGATTGTATATCAATTATAACTTAAAAAGCCAACATGTGTTTCTACAAACAAGTATGAAAAGAACAGTTTGCTTTTAAGACTAGCAGGTCATCTCATCATCTTTTCTCCCAGTTTCTTTCAAAATCCTAATAGTTCCGTTTGGATTATAAACTCCTGCTCTAAGACAAAAAGGACTTTTTAAAGTGATCTTATAAGAAACCAGTTAGTCTGAAATTTTTCTTCATTCCTACCTCTTTCCTGCTATGCTTTTCTACTTCCTAATCTCAACTCTCAGCCAGCATCTTCCCAATTGCCTTTAGTCCTATACCAATAAGAAGGAAGACAACTGCTAATAGAGTACTTCCATGGTTATAGACAATGAGAGTAAAACATGAATAAAGCGATTTATGCAACATGTTAAAATGATACCAAAAAATAAGGAAAAAATGACCTACCTTGAAGTTTTCCAGATGCACCTTGTACTCTCTTCCAGCTCAAAACCAAACCACATTTCTTAAAAAGAAAACAAAATGATCATTACCACTTAACAAAATAAACTAATCTGTAGTGCAAATAACAGCACAAATTCCCACTAGGGAAAAACGGGGGGGAAAAAAAACCAAACCAGCAACTAAACTGCTTAAAATTCTTTAAATTCCCACAAACTTATTATATCAAAGAAATATATAACAAATCATTTTTTAAAAAATACAAAGTATCACTGATTCTTACTTGCAGAAAATTACCTACCTTTTAATAAATGAGAAATCTTACAGCATATGCTTTACCAAAAGATAAAAAACAAAAATTCCTAGTATTTTAAGTTAAAACAAACTATAGTAAATTCAAGTAAATAATACAAATCCATAAAGATTATATTTTAGAACACAAATATACAAAGATTTTTAATGAGGAAATGCTTGATATGGGATTCAAAAATAACATGAGGCATGAAATTGCAGATATACAGTACGATTTTAACTACGTAAAGAAAAAAATTTTGCATTAAATGATCAGAAATATTCTAAAATGTTAATAAGAAAGGATGTCTGAAGGGTGGAACCTTATTACACTTTGTTTACTCAAAGTTTTTAAGCATCATTTCTAATTATTCGAATAAAAACTAAGAGGTTAAACAGGTGCTTGCCAGACAATATGCACATGGAATAACAAAAGCCTCAGAGTTCTTTTCAAGCCAACTATTCTATCATCACCCTCACAGGAGATAGCCTCAAGAGTTATGGTCTGAAGAAAGTACACAGAAGTGGCTTGGGATGTGGAGCACGAGATATGAGAGAGGATGTGGATAAGATAAAAGAGTGGGTAACAAAAGAAAGTAAAGGTATAAGAACTGCTTGAACTCAGTCCTTCACCCCCAACCACACAGGCAGTCAATTATATACTAGGCATGAAACTGAAGTTTTCTAGACAAACCACTTGTCTCAAAGACCTCCACATACTGACATTCAAAACCTCCCTACAGTGATGCCCAACACTTTACAAACCTAGCTCATGCACACAAAAACCTTTTTTAATCCCTAGTTCTTAAATATGAACAGATAATTAAAGATCAACAGACATTTAAGGAAAACCTAAGGAGTGAAAGAAATGAAAGGAAGAGAAGATATAAATTCAGAGATCCTTAGGAAGCTTAAAAAAACACTCTGCTGCATATATAAATTAGGAACAGATTTTAAAAAGGGAAATTTCAAATAGAAAACATGTATGTGTTCACAAAAAACTTGTACACAAATATTTACAACATCAATATTCGTAATAACCAAAAAATGGAAACAACTCTCAACTGATGAATGGGTAAATAAAATGTGGTATTATACCCATCAAATGGATTATTTGACATTAAGAAGGAATGAAATACTATACAAGCTATAATACAGATGAACCCTTAAAAGACAACAGAACACAAAAAAACATTTTTTCTATGAATTCACTTATATAAAATACCCAGACTAGGCAAATTCAGAGACAGAAAGTAGAACAGTGGTTGCCTGAGTCTGGAGGGAGGAGAGAATGGGAAATGACTATTGATAAAAGGTACAGAGCTTTTATTTGTGGAGATGAAATGTTCTGGAATTAAACAGTGGTGGTGATTATACAGCTTTCCGAATATACACAAAACCACTGAGCTGTACTTTATGAGAGTGAATATTATGGTGTAAGAATTTTATCTTAATAAAGACGCTTTTTAAAAACATCCTCCTATGTTCCACTTTGGAGTATAATCGTGATACAGAAGTTTTTCATGTTCACCTAGACAGACATTACCAATTATAATATAGCAAGCATAAAATCAAAAACTGGAAACAATCTAGACAATATCCATCATATCATTGATAAGTTTTCACAAATGCCTAGGGTACCTAACTGGTTTTCTTGGTTTCACTGGATATGGCTGGTAATTGTAGGTCTGCTTTGGTTACATAGCTATATTCCTATTATGTTAATGTATGTGCACAATTTAATTAGCAGTTTAAAACCTATACATGCTTATGTTACACTACAAGAAGATATGTCAAAGAAATAAGCAATCTTCCCATGTTTTCTTCTGTCTGCTACTTCTATAGCTTTTCTTCTTCCTTCCTAATTACAACCCTTTAGTAGAATTAGTGCCTCATATTGAAAATTACTGAGTATCGTAATTCTCCCAAGTGGTAAAGATACCTCAAGACAAATGCTGGGCATAGAAGCCACAGGGCATAAATCTGCAAAGTAAAAAGCTAACCTTTTCAAACAATAAGGCTTCTCTCTCACTTACCAACTTAATATTTCCCTGTATGGCCCCGGAAGATGACTGGTTAGCCAGAGACGGGTAAGATTCCTCAAGGGAGGAACAACCTAAGACAGGCACAGTCGCAGGGGGGCCATCAGGAGAGAAATTGGGGACCAACAGAGGGAAGGCTTAGAACCTCACCCCCCCTGTTTTGAGAGAAATCTTCCGCATCTGTGGATGTTTTGTTGCCCTTGTCTAGCTTGGATTAATAC